AAAACACGGGTTAACCTTTGAAGTGCTTAATAGAAGTTTGACACCCCATAAATATATTGGTAAGGAGTTGATGGAACCACCTTAGTGGGAGTCCAACTAATAATATAAGTCGTGGTTAAAACCGCTTCACCCCAAAATTCAAGTCCAAGTTTGGCGGGTTCCCATCGTATTCTAAACTATTGCAGTTAATGTCCTATTCCTTCTTCGGGCAACCCCGGTTTGTTTGGGTGAATATGGTGTGGTGGTTCGGTGTATGATACCATTTTGTACACAAAAGTCATGGAAAGCATGGGATGTATACTTACTGCCCCGGTTCGACCTAAGGGTCTTATTTTTAGTTCCAATTTGATTTTCAATATCAGCCTTATTTTCCCTAAAATTGCCTAGAGCTTAACTTTTATATTGGAGGAGGTAGGTGTGTTCATACTGGGAGTGACATCGACGAAGGTAATCATGTATCTCTTGTTCCCTTTGGAACGCACATTCATGGGTCCACCTATGTTGATGTGTATTACTTCTAATAGGCTAATAGTCCTTTCAACCATCTTATAGAAATCCTTAATCACTTTGTCTTTCTCATAAGCCTTTCCATCCTTGATTTATTCATGTATCCTAATCTTAAGTGCCATAATAGAAAATCATCACATGGTTTGACACATAAAAAAATTTACTCTTTATTTCCAATTAAAAAAACCCATTGTGCTATTTTGCTACAAAGACAAGCTCTCCATCAAAATTTCCCTCATAGACACACCTTATTTTCCTTTAAAACAAGTACATAACTGGTACTACTCATCTTGGATCTCAAGATCAAATTTTTCCTCATACTAAAAGCATAAAGAGTGTCTTTCAAGACTACAACCTCTCCATTCACAATATCTAGCACATAGTCCCCACATCCTAGGACTTGCTCCTTTCGGTTTCCTCCCACATAGTCTTCTCCTTAAAGGACCAGAAACCATACATGAAGTTCACCACATGAACCGTAACACCGGAATCAAGGCATCATATATGGATCACCTCATCAGCTACCATGACCTCAAACACCAAAAATACCCTCTCTTCCTTCTTAATTATAGGACTGGTGTTATGCCTTGCCCTACCGGTCTAATTTTGGGGTGGAAAAGCGTCAAGTTAGAGAGGGAAGCTGCATATCAAAACCTAGCAATATACCTGAATCTCGTACATTTGTGGTATTGCACGTTAGAATAATCTTTAGGTTGATATGACTATTTTCCTCTTTCAATCCTTTGATTATAACTCCCATAATTTTTTTTAATTGGATAAGGTAGTAGTGGCTTGTATGAACTACTCAATTGTCTTTTCCCTTTGACCAATTCCATTTACCCTTTCATTTATTTTTTTACTATTACTACCATTCCTAATATTATAATTTAGAGCATTAACATTCACATTCACATGCACATCAAGGGAAGGGATAGAGGAACAAGAAAGGTTAGAGTTATCATATGGACCATGGTCTTAGGTCCATGCATGCTCACGGCTCGACACTCCTCCACGGCTTCAAGGAAGAATGTGAGGTCATCGAATGTTATGGGGGAGTCATGTGCCACCAAGTTGGCTGTAAAATTCTCCCATGAGGGAGAGAGAGTGGACAAGAAGAGGCTCACTTGAGTTGGCATATCAATGTCATGCCAGCCAACTCAATGTCCTTCATCATATGGCAAAAATTCCTAACATGATCACCAATATTCGAGTAATCCGGCATCTGGCAATCAATGAGCTCGACTTCTAAGGGAGAAAATTTTGTTATTTCTACCCATTCAATTTATTGGTGGAATTTATTCAAAAAAAAATTTGTTATTTCAAAGGGGAAGCAGCTTTTTAATGAAGAGAGATAAAGATTCATTGTTAAACTATTACATCGCCAAAATAGGATGGTGAGAGATTTAGATTGATTGTAATAGGAAAGTACCTTATTTTGGAGTTACCATATACTGGTTTTTACAGAAGTCAGAAGAGTTTATATTATTCAAAAATAAAGAAAAGGGTTTATCGCTTATTATGGTAAGTACTTAATTTATAGGACAAGTCAAGAGCTAGAAACCTATAAATACATGGAGGTACATGAGGCTTTGGTACGTGAAAGCATGAGAGAAATATAGAAAAGTTGGAAATATGTTTGTTTTTTGGGGGGTGAGGCATTGGTATGTGAAGGCATGAGAGAAATATAGAAAAGTTGGAAATACGTTTGTTTCTTGGGGGGTGGGGGAGGGGGTGGGGGAGGGGGAAGGGAGGTGGAGTCTATTGACCGGAAGTATATAGAGAAAATTAAAAAGTATGTAAAGCTCATTGAGGCCAAGTTGAAAGTGTAGAGAGAAAATTAAAGAGCATGTAAAGCCCATTGAGCCCAGGTGTTTTGGAGTAAAAATTTCAATGAATTAGAAATATTCGTTGGAAGTGTGTGATTTCTATAAGGTTGCAACCTCAAACAATCCAATTAAGGCGCATCTTAAAAATTTATCATAACATGTAATTTTATTGTAAAATTTTTTTAGCATTATCTTAAAATCTATTTTCATACCTAATTAGAAAATTTTAAATTCCAAAAATGGTCAAAATCAAGTAGATCTATAAATATATGAAAATCTTGAAAATGGACAGTCTAGATAATGTGTTATAAGATGCACTATTTCCAAGACTCAAAAACTTTTTTTTCCATATTCATAGATCTCGATGTTGAGACGATTGATTAAAGGGTTTTTTCAACATTAAAACAATATTTCCAAAAGATTTTTGTGGTGCATTTGTAATTCTACATTTTAAGGTTGCAATCTTATATAAACTTTTCCCATTAAATAATACGTGCCCAAACGGGATAAATCTCAAAACTGAGTAGAGATTATAAATGCAGCCTAGGGTTGGAAATTTGGGTTGTTGACCAGACAGTTCTAGGTTTAGACCCACTAATTGGATTTGGTGGGTCGGAGCCAGGCAAATGACCTATAGACCGAACTATGATCAAGTTAGCATCTAGATCAATCCTAGACCTTATCAGGTTAGATAAAGTTTCGATCAAGGCCGACCCGATCCGACCCAATATTTAAATATAATATAGGTATATATGTAATATTATTTATATATTATCAAATGTTTATAATTAATTTGTGTTTTCTTTAATCTAGACTCAACGCCGACCTGGAGGGTAGGTCCAATGCCATGGATTCGAGAGAGATCTAGGATGGGTTTGAGTTCAACTAGGACCCAGACTTGAACAATTAACAACCGTCATCCCCCTCTCTTTTACATGGACCTGAACCTATACCCTCTCTCTCTCTTTCTCTAAGTTTTAACATATGCCGGAACATGCATTTCCCATTTTCCAGTTCCCACTGTCGCACAAGAATGTCTTGAAAATTTCATACGTATCTGTTATATTTTACGTTATTATAGATGTACCAAATAGTTTCCGTTATTATATGTATATTCATTTTTTACCTTTTATAGTGTAATTTTTTTAAAAAAGACAACTTTACTCTTTTTCGGATGTTGAACATCCGAAAATTACATACATACCCATTTTTTGGATGTGGAATATCCGAAAATTACATACATACCCTTTTTTACTTTTTCGGATGTTGAACGTCCGAAAATAGGCTGAAAGTTCATATTCTCATTTTCGGGTGTTGATCCGGACATCCGAAAATATCACATTTTCGGATATTCAACATTCGAAAAATACGACTTTCTAAAAGGCCTCTATAATTTCGCAGTCATTTTCAGATGATGAACATCCGAAAATTACATTTTCGAATGTCCAACATCCAAAATTGTGACTGTGAAATAGTTTTGGATGTTGGACATCCAAAAATATCACATTTTCGAATGTTGGACATCCGAAAACATCACATTTTCGAATGTTCAACATCCAAAAATGACTTTCTAAAAGGTCTCTATAATTTTGCAGTGAACATCCAATTCGGATGTCCAACATCCGAAAATTACATTTTCAGATGTCCAACATTCGAAACCATTTTCGGATATTCAACATCTGAAAATGTGACTGCGAAATGTGAAAAATGGGAATTTGAACATTTTACTTTTGAGCTATTTTCGAATGTTGAACATCCGAAAAACCCTTCAATTCAGATGTTCAACACCCGAAAATGGAAATGTGAATGCTAAAATTTCGACCTATTTTCGGATGTTCAACATCTAAAAAAAAGTAAAGTCGTCTTTTTTAAAAAATTACGTTATAAGTGGTAAAACGGATATACATGTAATAACGGAAACTATTTGATACATCCATAATAACGCAAAATATAACGGATATGTATGTAATTTTTCCTATATTTTATAATAATAACTTTGAAATCATTGCTATCGTAGATGAAGGACCATTCCCTAATAATCTACCAAAAAGAACGAAAAAAAAAAAAAAACAGGAAACCTTTGGTGCCCGTAATAACCTGGATAAAATCAGTAAAATTAACTTATTACAATAATTCAAGGCTTCATCGTGGTAAAAAAACTTTCCTGAGTACACATTGCATGTAACCTAAAGGCAAAAGGTTCCATATGAATGTGAGAGGAAACAGGTCTTTATCTTAAAATTGCCTAAAAATAGCTGTAAAATCTTAATGTGACAGACATCTTCTCAATTTGCAAGGAAATGATGAAGATTATATAACTCAAAAGTTACTACTGTGAATATTGATTCATGATATTTTAAGTCGATATACATTTGAAAATGTTCTCCAACTTTATAATTTATAAAATGTTTTTAACATATTTAAGTTTTTAATTGTGCATAATTTGACTTCATATTTACTAATATCAACAAACAATTATTTCATAATTCATAATAATAATACATTTAATTCAATATTGTAAAGTCTCAGTACTGACCTTATTAATACTTGATAAAAAGACAAACACAATAATAACCCCACAAAATTCCCCACTAATGATATGCCCATTGCTTGTCACAAAGTGCACAGCCACAAACCTGATACTGAGATCTTGACACAACAAATCTACTGCAAAAACATGTATCTTGCAAGAATCTTCAGGTCGTTCTTGTTAATAAACGTTCAACATAAGATTATAAAGAATGATTTACAAATTCACAGAGAAAAACATCAAGAGGAAAGCTCTGGATAAAATTCTGTGACAATTCACTTGGTTTCCCACATTCATAAATTGTCGTCATCACCCAGATATCTGTTCTTCCTCAACCATGACCTTCTGTCACAATCTCTGTGTGTGTGCTTAACCGATGGACCTCGACCTGCTAATAACAAGGACATCATATTTACTGCTCTTTGGCAGAAACAGAATTGAACTGGGGTAAATATCTATTGCTTAAATATCACTCAGAACTCATCATGTCTTAAATTCCTCTAACAATCTTACAAGACTGTATGTCTCAGCATCAGGCCTCCCCCCACCAACAATCATCTCCTTTAGAAAGTCTGGATAATAGACCTTAGCCTTCACATAAGCCCTCAACATCGTATTATATGCAAATGTATACCTGCTATACCCTGACTCCTTGAGCTCCTCGAAGAATTTCTTTGCATTTTCCACATCACCCATCTCACTAAACATCTCAACTATCGAAAGCGTAGACTCCAACCAAGGTGCTGACCTCCTTACCCTACAACTCACACTGCATTCTCTCTCTAAACCCAAAGTCTTCATTGCTTCTTTCACAAGACCTGCCTTTAAACAACCGATGGCTAGATGCCGATACGTTATAGCATTAGGCTCACAACCTACATCTCTCATCGCTCTAAACATCTCAGAAGCCTTGGAAACAAGGCCATGCCTACCATACACAGATATAAGAGAATTAAACTGCTCTGTAAACCCCAACTCTTTCTCTCGCTTCATTTCTGACCATATTTCTTCCGCTCTCTTCACATGGCCAAATCTTCCAAAAGCTTCAATCACCACCAAAAAGCTTCTCCGCCTTATGTGAGGAAGCTTAAGCACAAGTTCCCATGTGGCCTCTAGTTCCTTCTCTTTGCCTAAGTACCCATAGAGTGTAAGTAAAACATCTAAAGTAGACCAGTTTCTACCGGTTTGAGCCCTTTCAATGGCTTCTACATAAGACTCAGCAACGGTATGTAGTCTTGCTACTGCATGTGCCAAGGCTAAAATACAGTAAGTTATCTCATTTGGCTCAATTTGTAAAAGCCTCATTTCATCAAAAACCTTTACCAGTCCTTCCATATCATGCCCTTGGGCTTCTATATTCACGAGTATATTATATGTACATGTAGTTGGAGTCACCCCATCTGCCTTCATTTGGGTTAGGATTTTTGGAATTTTTTTCTTTTGTGTACGAGAAGAGTGAAGGAGAATCAAACGGTTGAAAATTAGAGGAGAAAGAGGAAACCCTAACTCTCTCATCTTTTTCATGTAAGCCAGTGCTAATGTGATTGCACCCTTGTCCAAGCAAGAAAGAGTGAGATTGTTGTAAAGTAGTTCATTGTGGAATTCTACAGGGATTCTGCTAAAGAGGGTTTCACCTCGTGAAATCCCGTGGATTTTAACAGTGAATTCGAGTAGACACGAATAATCCAGTTCTTTCAGCTTGTAAGGCCTCTCTCTAATCACCCATTCCATAACCTGTTCAAAGGAAAAAACAAAAAAAGCCAAAACAGGTCGAGCTCAGCAGAAGATAATGAAGTCCTCTAGTGGAAAGATATCCAAATTAGGATTTGTTGTCTCACACATACACAGAGAGAGAGAGAGATTTGTCCCACTGAAAGAGAACTGGTGGATTTGAAAACTAGTACGCATGCTCATAAGTGATTGATTGGGATGAAGTAGTTTGTGGGGTTAAACTCAAAGTCTGCATATCCACAAAATGGAAAACAAACAGATAATAAGAAAATTCATACATCATATACATGTAGACCACACTATGTGGAAATTAACACTCAAAAAATTGGTACAAGCAATGCATACAGTATAGCAATTACTGTGGTATATCATGTTTGCCTGTAATATTTGGTACAATCTTTACTAACAGCTGTAATTGATACTTTTCAGTTACCATTGAATATTGTCCGTTAACAGATTATGATACCTGGATAGTTTGTTTGTGTTGTTACGTATATTAAATCTATTGAAGTTGAAAAAGGCTGCTCATACTACAAGTACAATCTAAATGCCAGCCAGTTCATTTTTAGACCAGTACAAGCTGGGATGATCCTTTGACGGAGTTCTTAAGTTAGCTTGTGGTTTATATGGAAATCATTAGATTATTTTGTGGACCATATCTTCAAAAATAAGTATTGGTGAAGGGGAGAGTTCAACTAAATTTTAGCTGTACATTTTTTCAGCAAGGACAATCTCTAGCACTAGCACACTCACAAAAATCAGAGTTTTCAAAGAAACCAAGGTTTCTGACAAAAGGAGGATCTTAGAGACAGGGTTTTTAAGTAATAGAAAATAAACAGAAAGTAAATTTTGAAAAAGAGGTTGGTTTATCATAAATTAGTAACAGAGAAAATGTCAGAAACCACCTCAAACAAGGTCATCCTTTTCGTAATTAATGCTATTTTAAGCATCCTAAATTGTTGCTTAACTACTTATATGATAGCATAGCTCTAGCAACATTAATAAGACATAACATAACTTGAATCAAGTTTAGCTCTAAGACCCACCAGAGAAATGCATGTACTCCAACAAGGTGAGTAAAACGATTTTTGAGCCCCAGTGAGACACATTCAAGGTCTATTGAATTAGGTGATATCTCAAAAATGATATTGATGGGCTCTTCTCGTGAAAAGTTTTAGGAGGTTATGAAGATACAACGACAAACTGGAAACCACTATGGCTTGAAAAGTAGGTTTACTTTGTTTGTTGGTTTCTTGTTTCTTTTGCAATATGAAGCTATATAGCTTCAAAGATCTCCCAATGGGATCCTATTTTTTGAGATATTGGAGAGCAGATGTTTCCAATCCATTAGTACTATATTCAATCATCAGGTTGTGATGAATCAATATAATTAAAAACTTTGGACCTGGTGCAGAAAGGGATGAACAACAAATCCCCGAATTTATCAATACCAAATCATAAACCTGGATTTGACTGTACCTAACCAGAGGAAACCTTGGCATTATCAAGTCAAAAAAAGGCCTTTATCAATTGACTTAATACTATTTTATCAATAACAGACTTCCAAAGCTCTTCTCACAGGTATATTATTATTATCATTCAAAAAAAGGCCTTTATCAATTGACTTAATACTATTCAGTAATATATTAGCTCTACTATTGCTATAATCCATTTACTCTATGAACTTATTCATGACTCAAATTGGATGAAAACTTGCAGATTCTCAATTGAACAGGCTCCAACCATTGTCACAGAGAGAGGAAACGCTAACAAGTTATTGAAAAACAACGAAGCATGGTAAGTTATTAGATGATCATCCAAAATCATCATTGAATGGAAACGATCTTACACATCCTACGTAAAAACACTGCCAAATGTCACTTAGGAATTGATTGACAACCATGAAATGCGCAACTAAAAATTCCTATCAGGTGACTTCCAAATAAATACCATTGTGAGAAGCCTGTTCTAGCATTGCAAATTTTATGGATTCTCAAAGCACATCCAAATTCACAGTTTCTGGGTTAATGTGTAGAGCATAATTTTACCAAAAAACAAAAAACATAAGAAAAAGGGAGGGGAGAAAAAATACAAAAATACCCACCCCAATTTCAACATAAAATCCCACAAAACATTGTGAAACTTAATTCAGAAATATTCAACCGAGCCCTACCTCAAGTGCACGTTTGTACTTCCTGAGCTTTCTCAACCTGTTAATGGTGTGAAAAACATCTCCCCTTTGAACTGGAAAACCCTCACTCATGTAACTTTGAAATGCATAGACTATAGATTCTCTCCTTTCAAGCTTCTCAACTCTTGAAGTCAAACTCTTGAAATCAAATGAATTCTCAGAATCAGTACATTCTATGAAATTGGGAGTCGCTAGTACCTCAGTAGAGAGAGGACAAACCCTATGTTTCCAAAATGGGGCCCTGGTAGTGGCCTGCAAAATGAGACAGAGTGTTCTCGGCCTAGAAATGGTCCAAAACATACCCATGTCTCTAGACCAAACCATTAACGGAATCTGAGAGATGGAGAGAGAGGAGAGGGAGAGAAAGAGAGAGAGGGCATTTTCTTATGCCTCTCCCAAAGGGTATGCATGTTTTGTGAGAGAGAGAGAAAGAGAGAGAGAGCGGGGGGGGAGAGGGAGGGGTTGGGGGGGTGGTGGGTAGGGAGACTACAGTTACCGCTCCGTATAATGTGAATCACCCCTTACACTTTGAGCATACAATAATCACCATATTGCCTGCACACGTCTAGAGACCTGCACGCACAAACATGGATTTATCTTATCCACTTGTAACACAAGGTGGCACTGGTATAATAAAGACACCAATGGAGCAACAAAGTTTTGTTCAAATGTCAATAGCAATTTACGTGTTTTACTACTTGGTTTGTTGTAACTTCTCTCTCTCTC